CCCCGTATAATTGATTCAGCTGAAACGGCGCTAGCTACGCCCCTGACGTTGACTCTCCTAGTAAATTTTATAGGAACGACGGAAAAAACATGTTTTTATTACATTATGCAAATTGATACTTCATAGTCGTTGCCTTCAGAATCCTACGAGTATTTGCCTAATAATTTGGAAGAATAAATTCTATGTATGTTTTTTAGGACCTTGTTATGAAAAACATTTAGTAAATAAAATTATGGTCATTAGAGTCGGTGCAACTTTTTTCAGAGATACTTCGCTAGTATAATGATTATGTGATTGTCTTTTTGTTTTTGTTTACTATCGTAGTAGTAGTAGTAGTAGTAGTTAGTAAACGGCTCGTTATTGCTTTCAATTAATTATAGCAATATGAACTTTATTTACAGGTCTGGTTGTTAAAATTTAATCGTATTTCTTTGTTGACCCGATTCAACTAAGACGAAGGAAAAATATAGAAAATCGGTTGACAAATAGAAAAAATGTTACGAAGGAAAAAACAAAGGAAATAACTGTTTTTCTTTTACCTATTTCTTGTTTCTATACAAATGACGCGATGGATCAATATGTTGTTAGAACAAAATGGTTTCCGTTTTTGTTCAATAGGATTATAACAACCAACTTGTTATTTACTGAAAGAATCAATAAAATTATACCTTTACGTGCACTTTTAAACTACCCACTTTGAGTCTTTCACATTACAATTATTTGTATTGTCACAAAAACTTTTTACCAAACGCCATACAGAAATCTAACGGTTGGAAACCTCTGTTATGAAAAAAAGTTGTCATAGATTTTGCTTACTGTACTCAACTTTTGCACAGAAGATCAGTTGACCCATGATGACACAAAATTAATTATTTAAAAAATGACCAATATGTTTTTCGCAGTACTAAGTGGGTCACTTTGTCTAGAGGTCATTTTGCACCTATATAGCAGTACAGCAAAAAAATAATAACAGCATTATTAAATAAGAATGTAAGACTGTACCTGGATAATACTGCCTTATTGCATGAAATATTACGATTGAAAGTAGTATCTACCTCATCCAGAATTAAAATGCAATCATATTTATTAATTAAGCATAAAACAATTGTATCTCAGAAACATCAAAATACCTTTACAAACAGCATAAAACACGTTCCATGGCTCATGTCTTCAACCGTCTATTTACATGTTACCCACACATAAAAAATTCTTTGCACATTTATAACGAACAATAAAGAAAAACAGCGTTAAGCTTAGAATTGAAACAGATAAGTGCTGCAAAAACATGTGGCTCGTGTGTTGCCACAAAACAAAACAAAGATATATGCTATTCTGTTGCAACACTGCGGTCGCAGAGAAAAACAAATTAAAAAGTTTACAGTGGGTAAAATAAAATTGTATGAAGGGGTACTTTGTAATGAATCTGCAAATTATAGTGTTCAAAAAGAAAAAAAGAAAAATATATTTCATGTCTTTATAAAAATTAGTTCATTACTCGGGGAGTTTTAAAGGCGACTATCGTGCAAAGAATTCAGAAATCGGGTTCAAGGACCTTAGACCAGACATATTATTACTAAGTCTCTTGGAAAGCAAAGTGTTTCAAAATCAGCAAGGAAGGTATATTGTGATAATAAATACTAACTTGTACAATAGTTGCACTTCTGGCTACGTGAAAATAATAGCTACAAATCTATGAAAACAATTTGTTAATGAATTCATGACTACTACGCTACTCGTCCTCCCGCAACGTCACACGACTTCGATCATTTCTTGCAAATCAGAATTTTAGATCTAGTAACACTGAATATCACAAATGAAAAAAAAATATTGTTTAAATTTTAACCCTTTTTTGTTAATTAAACCTAACATCAGAATCGTTAATTATACACGTGATAAATATCGTGCTAGCGTGACAACGGTTCATATTAAACTCGCTTATTAGAAGAAAAAATACAACAATGTAATCATCGGTCATATTCGGTTGCGTATTACATATGACAATTAGAAAAACATAACCTTTAGTTGCTGTAACCCTGTATTTGTGTGACGTAAAGCGTTCAAATCGACTAAATGTCACATGAATATTTAAAAACCTGATACAATGCCTCACGACCTAGGCCGAATCTTTCATGTACAACCTATAATCACGCACACAAGCTATTAGATACACGCTACCATAGAAGGGTTGGCTAAAGCCTTTAAGTCGAAAGTGTTCTTTGTAAATTTTCTACCACCCCTCAGGGAAATTAGCCTTAAATCTCAGCAATTTTACATGACGTAGTGTTATAGGGATGTTTTGATAAACGTACACGTGTAGTTCAGAGCTAGTTATTAAGGGAAGGGGATTATTTTTGTTTTTATAGTTTTCCTCCTACGTTAAAGGTCAAAATCAGTTTATCTTGGTAAGAAATTAAGATTTACTTACCATATACATACAATTATACAATATATTTCATCATTTTTAAGTGTCTTTAATTGGGATGATGGCAACCATGAAAATTAAAAATCGAATTAGTCCGTAAGTTAGGTAATGAAAAAATATTAGACACGTATTTTTTTATTTTGTCGTATAATAAAACAATACTTAGATAAAACGGATCAAAGTTTAGAAGTGGGGGCTAAAACGTCATTTCTACGTATGAAATGAACATAGAAGTGACGTTACGCGACATTTCAAATCAATATATCGACGAAAGTATTCGTTTCTGTAAAGAATATTTTAATTCTAATGATTTAAAATAATCTACCATACGGAAATAAAAATTAGGCATCTACTCTAATATTTAATTTTATATGTATATGCGTTTTATACTTTTGAGTGAGTGGTGTTTAGAATGGTCTGATAGATTTTCATTATTATAAAAATGTAGTCGATGTTTCAAACTATTTACTAGTTGAAAAACTTGTAATAAAGTCTTTAATGTGTTAGGCAATATTGAACTCTGTAAATGCAATTTTATACTTATTAATATTCCAGATTCGTTTAGCTTACTCCAAACCCTATTCTAAATTCAATTGAATACAAATATACGTTATTGAATCTCCGTTTCTATTGCCAAAACAATCTTATAAACCAAATGGTATTTGTATTGCAAATATTTATTTTCAAAAACAATTTAGTATGTGTCATTGTTTATCAAATCAAAATGGCTGCCTCGTTGATTTCTATTCCACACTACAGTAGCAGTAGATTCAATTGACTCGAGCTTGCAATTTTATTTGACTACCAAACATTTATTTTTATTGTGGTCAGAATCGATTCGCGAATAAGAAAATAGGCAATTGTTTTTTTTTACTCGATTCAAGTTCGAATATTGTTTCAAGACAAGCTGACGATAAAACTTTGTGCCTATGTTTTTGAATGTTTACTAGGTACCAAAATTACAGTTGTATTTTCATGCATGCTACAGTCAGCTTATATTATTTTTCGTCACTTATATTTATTATAACCGCAGAAATGATAGCCGTATACTCTGGTAGCATGTGTTCATTGTTTTTGATTAAGTTCTAACGAGTAGCTAGAAGATCAATTGAAAGGATCTAAAAATACTATTTAAAAAAAAACAACAAATCTCTTTTTCCTTTAAAGAGTATCAGTTTACTTCCTTAAACAAAAAAAAAACTCCAGCTTATTCTATCCTCTCATTGGAATATCGAAATACTAAAGTTAACAAAGTTTATTTATAAAACCAACGAAGTAAACCAACTCGTTTCGGTAGATCTTGAATTAATTAACCATACCTCAGAAACTCGAAAGTCTACTTCGTTGTATCTTATAACTCTCCCTAATCTGATTGGTCCTTACAAACCCTTTGTTTTTATTCAAAAATACGCCTTAACTTGATAAAGGTCTTTGTTTCTCAACTAGTTTTGAATCTAAAACAAGAATTTTAATAAAGTTTTGTTTGTTAATAAATAATCTTTTATGAAGCCCACACTTGTTTATAATATAAATATAGTTTGTTGGACAAGTTTCTTAAGATTAATTGTGAAATGTTAATTTGTGCATGCCATATTGTTATTATTTCTGTGGATAACGTTGAATAAACTCCATTTCTAGAAGTTTTCAAAGGTTGTTTATATAATTAGAATTTACATGAGTTACGTAAAGTAATGCGTAAATTTAAGTTCTAAGTAACTAAGTTGAAATCTCAATTGTGACTGCTATCAATGAGATTGCTCATGCTCAGATTAGTTTATGAGGGTGTTTCAAAATCTTAATTTGATAAGAATGAGTTTATCGAAAGCTCGATTAATCAAAATTTGATTATTACTTCTAATTAAACAACGAGAAAAAATATTCACATTAATCATTTCATAAAATAGAAAATGGATTTACTTTATAAGAACAAAACTACTAAAACTTCTAATGAAAGTAAAAATAAATATTTCTAATCAAATAATCACAAACTGAAGTACTAATAGGTGCTAGCTAGTTACCTAGATTCGAAGACCAATCCGTTTATTGGTGTCGAAACGAGGTCACGAAGCAGACCGAGCAATAATTTTTCACCAAGAGCCCCGTTAGTTTAAAATAGACTCCGTCGAGATCACTTAGACCTTAACAGTTACGACTTGTTAAGCTAAACTTCGCAGTTACAGTCTAAGTACTGACGAAATGTTGGCCCTTGGAGCGTAATATTAAATCAAGTTGACGTTCACAATTTTTGTCGTCTTACCGAATTGCCAATTAGACTCTTCTTTTCTTTACTTTAAATTATACTTGGCCTTTATTTATGATGGTAATGTTGCGTTTTTCGTACGCCTTATCTTGAAAAGAAGATGCTACGATTGCTACGAGTGCTACGCTGCCGTGTAGCAATATGCTACGGCGTAGCAAATACACAACACACGTTCTATACTTACATTTTGAATTTGCTTTAAATTTTCATTGTTAAAACACGTCTGCTTTCAATTGATAATATTTTGATTTATATTTAGACTGAAAATCTTTATCTTTTTTCCTGAATTATAATAAATGGTTTTTTTTTCTTCCACAGGTGGCAGCGACATTTCGGGAAGCGCATCAACTACAGTGAAAATAATTCTTCTGTTAACACACTTACTTCCTAATGTTTTAAGATAATTTGTTGTGATCTTATTAGTTAGTAACAATTTATAATCGCCTATGTTCTAATGAACGTATAGAACCAAAGATCCTGATGTTTCTATGACTGATAAATTCTTCTCTATTTTCACTGTTAATACTTTGTAGTTGTGCCAACCCGAATTTATGTATTTCATTAAATGGAATACACGAAATATGATTCTAATTTACTTAATTCCCCCAAGCAATTAGTTGAAATCTTAAAACTGTCTGACAAACGAATCGTTAGAGAAAATAATTGAAATTTGTACAAAAAATAACATTTTACTTTCTGGTTATATTGAAAAATTAATAAATAATTATTTGCGTTATATTAAATAGTAATATTAAGAGTTTATTTAACCTGGCACTAAAGTTATGTGTATGCCTAGGTATGTATATATGTACATATGTATGTGCTCAAATACTATAAATAAACAATGGCTATTGTGCGTTTGAAATATTTTAATAATTCGTTGTTTTTAATCTTTCTTTAGATTTTTATCGACACGCCTAAAAATAAAATGGATAATCACAATGATAGTACCCCAATCTCTCTGATAAAAGAAGGTGACTGCAGTATGAAGGTTTAATAAAAAGGTAAGTTTTTACTCTAAACAGGAAGTGTCGAAAAAGTGACAATACGATGGAAAGTGGAGAAACTTCTAATTACTGTTCACGATAGTTATTGTAAAAAATACTTTTAATTATTACATACCTTCTAGTGTGTGTATTCTTATTGTGTTTGATTCATAATTTTAAGTCATAAATGATACATTAGTTCGTGTTAAACATAATCCACTTATTTTCTTACGAAAAGACTGCTGTCATAGTTACAGAACATCGAATATTACATTAATATCTACCATTCATGAAGCAAGAAGCAGAAAATAAGCAATATACATACATAATACATGGACAAGAGTATCTAGAACAAGGGTTTGACGTCACATAGAAGCTTGAACATTGCAATATCACTGTTGAAAGCTAAAATTAGCTCTGAAATTGCACTTAAGATGACATGACTGCTAAATTGGAAATTCTATTTGCTAATTAATTCTAGATTTAGTCAATTTAAGATTTAGACAAGTCGGAGACATGTTTCAAGTATGCCAATAGATAAAGTTAGCAAGTATACGTACTCTCGATGTTATAAAAGTTAACTGATCTGCCTTCTTAATTATCAGCCAGAAATTGAACACTAGCACGTTTTCACAAAGCGATAAATCACGCAATGTTCTTAAGAATTGATTGATCAATGATTAGGAAAAGTTATCTTTATATTGGAACTAATGATTCATATTTAAGTCTATATAGAAAAGAGTATGTGGTAAAACCAAGATAAAAATAAGTAATTGATACAACACAGTACTGGTAAAATAGAAGCAATCGAGAAACAATTTATTTGTTATTAATTTAAACGATCCAACAAAACGAAGTTCCAATTTAAACTGTAAAAGGTCCACGAAGACTCCAAAATAGATATTACTTTTAGAAACCAAATGAAATAATAAAAACGTACAAAATATTCCAATCGTTGGAGCACTCTATTAAAAAGCCTACGAAAATGCAAAAGGCTCGCGCAATCGTTTTAAGTATAATTCGGTACGAACGACTAAATTGATGTGCGCGACGAAAATTCTCGAAAATGTTTCTACGGGAAAAGGATTATTATGATTTCATGGCTCTCTCGTTCCATTATTTTAGACCCATTTTCTCAATATTTAGACAATGCTTTTGTCTTTACTGGTGGAAAAATGCTTAGAGAAAACATAAGAGAAACATTTTTTTTCTCGATAGTGTCTCCAGAATTTGTCACTAATTTCACGAATATAGGTAAAAGTCCACTCAATGCTAAATATTTAATCTATTGACCTACATCATTCTATTTGTAGCTAAAGTTTTGACAGCTACAGTTACCGTCTGTGACTGGAGTGTGTTTGCCACCACTAACTAGTAGGTATCAATGTTAGAAATATCAGCAGTGATTGATAACGTTTTTTTAAGGGGAGAAAATCATCGAATTTCTCTAGTCCTACACTGTGAGCCGGAGCTCTGGTAACCATTTACGTTCTCTCGCGGCTTCGTATCGGCATTAGCCCTATTGTGCCCCATCCATGGTTGTCTGATGGCTCTTTAAGGCGCGCGTGGAACGCGACGACGAGCTACCCATTCTCGCCGTCCGCAGGCCCGTGCTTGCGGTGGCCAGAGATCGTTACGCGATCTCTGACGCCTGGAGTGTTCTTCACGACGGTAGTGATTGATAACGATATGAATCTTATTCTACTTTACCTTCCCATAGTACTTTTTTTATGATATAAGCCGGTAAACGAGCAGATGGATCACCTGATAGTAAGCAATCGGCGTCACCCATGGACACCCGGAAGACCAGAGGCGTTACAAGTTTGGGGATTAAGAGTTTGAGGATCGTTGGGAATTCAGGGATTGGGGAGATTGGGTAAGAGGAGGGTAATTGGGCCTCCGGTAACCTCACTCACACGACGAAACACAACGCAAACGTTGGTTCACGTCGGTTTTCTATGAGCCGGCCCATAATATCTAAAGTTTGTAAAGTAAAATGAAGTTAATAAAAATGGTTACTAAGTTAACTAAAAATCGAGGGTTACTACGTGAATATACTGAGAAAAGCTGTACTAATTTCGGACCACAGAGGGGTTCTTCCTCATGAGCAGCGTGCGCGCAGCCTTCTGATTTTAGCGCGATTTTTAGTTAATTTAGTATGTCTCACGATAATTATTATAAAAAATGGTTACTGGTATAATTTATAAGTGAACTGTTAAAATGCTACACAATTTCATGTATATACGAAACTCAAAACGTAACACGCTTAACTTGGGTGTTGTACCTATTTCCTTATATACATATTTTCGGTGAAAAGACAATTAGTACCCTAATTTCGTAGAATTTCTGAAAGAAATCAATCCAATCTTTCCTTAGACACAAGCTCGTTTGTATCTAACTAGTTTATATGTCTGCAAACTGTTTTTCTTTTATGTTTCCATGACAACACAGACATAAACTAGATTTATGTCTTTCATCAACAGCCTATAAATGCCCACTGCTGAGCAAAGCCTCTTCTCACACGGAGAAGGTTAGAGCATTAATCACCACGCTTGCTCAATGCGGGTTGGCGATTTCAAACTTATAATTAGAAATTATAAGTCCAGGTTTCCTCACGATGTTTTTCCTTCACCGTTTGTCAGTGGTGTCTAAATAATCTTAGAAAGTACATATAACTCGGAAAAAGTCACATTGGTACTTGCCGTTGGTAGGTTTCGAACCCGCACCCTCATGCATGAGAAGTGGGCGTCTTAAACCTCCGGGCCACCACGACATTCTTTTTTTTTTTTTTTTTTTTTTTTTTTTTTTTTTTCATAAGACAGTATGTCTTTCATAAGACAGTAAAATATGCGATGGTCAGCAAAGTTTGCTCATCACAGTTATGACAATGCACCTCATAAAATTTTACGTCCACACTAATGAATTTATGCAGTAACTTCCTGAAAACAAGGTCTTATTTCAAATGGCAATGCTTGTTGACAATATAGATAAGTGCAGTTATGTTCCATTGAATTTCATCGTAGAACGTTGTTAGAGGATGCATCGATTCTTAGAAATTTAATTAAAACTTATCGAACTTTATGTCGAGTAAGATCATATTAGTTTGTTGATTAGTCACTGCCTCTCTACTACCAAGTTTATAAGGATGATTGTTAATTATAATATCTTAATGTTTCATCTTTGAATCAGTCATAGAATTCGGTATTTCTTCCTCACTGTTTGACAATGCGATCGTTTACTATCTCAAATATATATCTATAAAATAATACTACCTATTGCAAATAAATTAATATTTTGGGAAGAGAGAGTAAAATTCCCGAAGATCGGAAAAGAGGATTCTTCGAACAGACGAAGTGGTTGTGCCTGGCAGACAACTGCCCAACAATTGAACATTGAGATTTTCTGTCGATGTTTCATCGCGTGTAAATTACCCTTGCGCGATGTACAATTTTGTCATTATTTATCATTTTTCGTTAAATCTTTAATATGCATCGTGACAACTTTTTAATGAAAACAGTTATATTTAGCTTAATACTAATACAACTTGACTCTACCAGACCTAACATCCAAAGTAACAGGTCCGTACATTAAACAACTTCACCTCGATAACGATAACCCAAATCACTGAATTTCTAATAAAGGTTGACCTTAAAGAAACTTTTTATGGCCCAAGCTCTGTAGTGATTTCAATATCAATGGGTACTCAGCGAACTAAAAGTAATAAACAACTTTTTTTACATTTTAGTGCCTGTTTACTTGATCCGAACCTAACAGGTAAGCACTTTAGGTACTATCGAGCAAGAATCTGCTTTATCACTCAGGTATTTGGGTGTAATTAAAAATAAACGAATGAGCTTGTATTCAACCGAAGTACTGTAATATTATTCTTTAAATATAGATGTTTATTTTATATTCGCAATCTCGCTTAGTGGTAAGCGATGATGCGGTCTACGATGGAGCACGTCGTCCCATAAGTAACCTATTCTCTCAGTCCTTAAAGACACCCAGGTTATACCCCTTTAAAAAATACAGATTCTGGCAAAACATTTCACTCCTTAGCACAAGGGAACTTAATGCGAAGCGCTTCGTGTGGGTGGAACATCTATCATGAATCGGTGACGCTTCGACGATTGTCTTGTGGTACGATGGTGGAAAGGAGTAGGGGGAATCAAGTTGTGCAATTCCCTCGCACACTCTAAGCAATTGGGGAGAATATACCTAGTACAACTAAATATATTTATTTATTTAGTCTTTAACTCGTCGAGTACCGTCATTATAGACACAATTATATAACAATAGGTTGCGGTCACCGGTGACCGCTTGGTGTTTGACAGTTTAATGTACACAATTTGATTATGGCACATAAGGCAAACTTAATGCCATATAGCATTCTCTACCAGTCAACCTTAGGGTTAAAGTAGAAAATCTGCGAAAATTAAGGTACGGAGAATAAACTAACACCAAAGAGAGAGAGAGGAAAAAAAAATATGATAGTAATTATTAAATAACATATTTTACATAATAGTAAATAGTATATATAGTCATATGCATAAAATATATAGGTATAAATACATACATAAATATATATATCGACGAAGACCTAGACCTAGCGTTGCAGTGATTTTAAATAAAATTCATGAACTTGGTGTTTAAAGGAGATTTTATTAGGAGCTTTTTTGATATTGAGGGGGAGCGCGTTCCAGAGTTTGATGACACTTATTGTAAAGGAATTAGAAATAAAAGAGGTCCGGTGGGAAGGTATTTCAAGAAGCAAGTTATCCGTCGAGCGGAGGTTACGGCTGTGGCAACTGCCTAATAGCTGGAAGCAGGATTTTAAGTAATCTGGTAAATAAAATATAC